GGCCCGCAGGCAGCAGAGCTCGGGGCGCCAGCGTGGCTGCAGGGCGGGGAGCTGGGGGGGCTGCATCTCTTACTGCCACCCCCTTGCACCCACATGAGTGCTGCCGAACTGCCAGACACACTGTGCCGCTGTGCCAGGCTAAGCTGTGCCGAGCTGGCCCTAATGCTGCGAGTCCCTGGCGGCACCATACTGTGCTGGGCCAAACTGGGTTGTTCTGAGCTGAACTGTGCCAGGCCATGCTGTGCCAAGCCGAATTGTGCCAGCCCTGCTTGTCCACGTCAGCCCAAGCTAAACTAAACCAAGCTAAACTAAACTGGGTCAGGCCAAATGGAGCTAAACCAGGTGAGGCCCCTGGTCATGCTGTGCTGTACCGAACTGAACCATTTCATCCCTGTGTCGTGCTGTGCTGAGCTGAGCCGAGCCAAGCCAGAATGTGCCAGACCAGCTGAGCTGCACTGAGCCATGGTGGGCTGAGCCACGCTGACTCCCCTGTCATCCCACACTGAGCTGAGCTGTGCTGTATTGTTCTGCACTGAACTGTGCCAGCACTCCATGTCATGCCATGCTGGGCTGAGCTGGATGGAGTTGAACTACACTGGCTGGGCCTTGCCAAGCTGAGCCAAGCAGCTCACTGTGGATCCCTGGGCTAAAGGGTGGCGTGCCAAGCCAAGCTGAGCTTAGTAGCAAGGTGCTGCGCTGTGCCATTGCATGCTGAGCCATGCCATGAGCTGTGCTAAGCCAAGCCGTGCCATGCTGAGCTGTGCCGCGCTATGCTGAGCCATGCCGAGCCATGCCATGGCAACACCAAGCCGTGCCATGGCAATGCCAAGCCATGCCAAGCCAAGCCATGTCATGGCAATGCCGTGCCGAGCAGGGCCGGCCGCCGCCGTCCCTCCGCGCCTTATTGGCGGCGGCGGAGCAGCCCCGGTGCGGGTCGGCCCCGCCCCGCACTCGCCCCGCGCCGCTCAGCCCGGGCGGGCGGGGGTGTCATTTCCTCCGCGGCGCGGGGCCGGGCCGGGCCGGGATGGGGCTGTAGTTTGTAGCCGCCATGGAGCGGGCCGAGGGCCGGCCCGGCGCCCCCCAGTACGTGCATGTGCAGCTGCAGGGGGGCGCGCCCTGGGGCTTCACGCTGCGCGGCGGGCTGGAGCACGGCGAGCCCCTCATCGTCTCCAAGGTAGGCACCGCCGGCGCCGTCCCGCGTGGGCTCCGCGGCATCCCCCCGCCACGGGCCTCCCGCCCGCGGCGGGGCGCGGGAGGCGGGAGGGGGGACACCCGGGGCGCGGCGGCGGCGTCGGGAGGTGCGGGGAGCCCCGGGCGCGGGGTCGCGTGTCCCGGCGCGCCGGGGCGGGGGCGGCCACCCCGCACCCACGAGCCCCGCGACCCGCCGCTCAGAGCCGCGGGGGGAGAGCGGGAGCGAGGGGGGCGGAGGGACAGCCCGGGCCCGGCGGCAGGAAGAAATTCCTCTGGCACATCCGTTGGGCTGGCGTCGGGGGCGGCCCCCGCGGCCCCCCTTCCCTCCCGTCCTCGCCGGTGCCGTCCCGCGGGGCGTAGCCGGGGGAGGTCAGCCCCCCTTCCTGTGCCCACCCGTCGGTGCCGCGCCCACGGACGCCCCCGGGACCGGGTTCTACGGGGACGTTGAGGGCCACGGTGTGGGGGACCAAAGTCCGTCCCGTCGCGCCCCGGGCACCCCTGGAACGCAGGGGCAGGACCTTGCCCGGGACGGGGCGGACGCCGGGGTGCGGGGCCCGACTGCAACCGGGAGTGCGGGGTGAGGGTGACCCCCACGGCCGCGGTGTCTCGCCGCACAGGGGGTCACCGATTCCCGGCCCCCGCCGGCCGCATCGCCCTGCGGTGAGACCGGCAGGGAGCCGGGCAGCGGCCGGGGAAGCCCCAGCAGCCGCCCCTCCGCGGTGCCCGGACGGGCCCCTGTCGCCGGGCGGTTTGGCCGCCTGCCCGCCCGGTGCCACCATCCTGCCGGGCCGGGGTGCGGCGGGCCGGGCTGGCGGCCCCGGGGCTGCTCCCTGCCCCGAGCCGGGCTGGTTGCGCCCCCGGGCCGCCCCACGCCCTCGGCGGGACGCGGGCAGCGCGGTCTGGCTGGGGGAGCTGGAAAAGTGGCTCCGGTCCCAGCCCTGCGCCCTGGGGTGGCACCGCCGGCGGGCGGGAGCCGGGGGCGGAGGGGGCAGCTGCCCGCGCCCCGACCGGCTGCCGGGCTCCTCGGGGCGGTGGGTCCCAGTGGGTTCGCCAGCTGCCGGAGGAGGGGATGGGAGGGCCAGGGGATGTTCCCCACCGCTGCTGAGAAGGGGGGGGTGGTCCTTGCGGGCCGCGGGGTGCCGGCCCCCGCGCTCCTCCGGCCGCGCCGCCGCCGCGTGTGCTCGGCAGACAAAGGGGGCTTGTTCCAACGCTCTGTGCATTCAGGGGAGGGTCCCCCGGGGCCACTGCTCCGCCGCTGTGGCCGGCCGAGGTGTGTGCGGGGAGGGGGCGGCCCCCGCCTGCTGCGCGGGGGGCCCGGGCCCCGCGCCGGAAAGGGGAAGGGCGTCCCCGCACTCGGTGACACAGTTTGGCCATTCCAAACTCCCACTCCGGGCGGGATCCCTTCCTGTGGCAGAGTCCCACGGCGGGGCTCCCATGGGCTCCAGGCCCTCTATGGGGCTGCGAGAGCTCTCCGGCACAGGGTCCCCTTGAGCACGTCGGGGACAAGAAGGGAGGTTGGTGTGGGGCAGGGTGGGCACAGCTCTGGCATTGCTCGGGCTGTGATTCCTAAGACAAGTTTCTCCTGGGGCAGGCAGATACTCCTGTGAGCCATCTGGTGCCCACCATTAGGGGCCAGGGTGAACAGCAGGGGTGGTGTTCGGGAAGAGTCCAGGGCTGTCCCATTCCAGGTTTGTCTGGCAGTGCTGAGTTCACTGGTAGTGAAGGCAGAACAAGGGGCTGTTTGTGCCAGATTTAGCTCCTGGGGAGTGATGCCAGGGCTGAGCCATGTCCGTCCTGGTGCATGTGATGGCCCAGACGTGGGTGCAGCCCTGGTGGTGTCCTGCAGCAGGGGGGACACCCTTCGCGTCTGACTCAGCCCTGTGGCCGTGGCAGGCAAGGCTGGGTGGGCACATGGCTGGGCAGAGGACTGGGGTTAAGGTGCAGTCTGTCCTGCCTGCTCTGCCAGTGCCCAGTGGCAGGGGGTAAACTCAGGTGCTCCACTGACTGCATGGTCAGACTGGGAGCCCTCACAGGCAGCCAGAGTCCCCTGCCAGGAAGGCAGCACTGTGGCTGGCGTCTGGGTGGGAGGGCAACGTCCCTGCACAGGCAGACACATTGGGCTGTGCCTAGCCTGGCCATGGCATTGCAGTGCCCAGATCCCTGAAAAAAGGGGAGAGCTGTGGAGTGCTGGGCATAGCTGTGCCAGTCAGGGCCATGGGGCACTGCTGGAATGGGCAGGAGGCCTTGCTGCTGCTGCCTGCTTCCCAAGGTGCTATCTTGTCCAGGGGCAGCGGGATGGCCCCTGAGACCTGGCTGGCACCAGGGCTGGAAAGGGGTGCCCCAAGGCATGTGCACTGTGACTGGCCTGCTAGGAAGTCATGGGTGCTCCCTGTCACTGGGGCCTGACTGCTGCCCAGGCTGGTGCTGCAGGCACTGTGAGCAGAGCTCGTTCCTTGGCTGAGCTTGGGAGCAGCTGGGCAGGGTAAGGAGCCCATGAGTGCAGGAGCCCCAGCATGGGGCTCCTTAACTCTGCTCTGTGGGTGGCTGTAGTGGCTGGCCACATCCACACCAGGCAAGGGGGCACGGGGCACCCCAGGTCCTGCTGGCATTGGGCACTCTGTCTGCACCTGCTGGGCACTGCTCATCCCAGGACTGCCCACGCTGCACCTTCCTGCTGGGGCAGAGGGGATGGGCTGAGGGCCCATGTGCTGGCAGCACCATGGCCTTGTGTCCTCCAAGCTGCAGCAGTACAGGATACCAGGCTCATTTTGGCCATGGGTGTCAGGGATGGGTAGGCATGTTCCAGGGCTCAGTGCTTCCCCTGCTAGTTGTCTCCCATGGGCACATAGGGCATGATGGCATGCTTTGGGCATTGAAATCACCACGGGTGCCCAGGCAGGCCCGACAGGGGGCTGGAAGCAGCGGCAGGGGGCTGGCATCCACGCCGGACAAAGGGCCCTTGTGCTGCCTGCACCCGCGGGGGAATCTGCTGGGATGGGACATTTTTCTTTCTCCCCCCTCCCCGATGTCCTTTCCTTGCTCAGAAATTCATGTGACCAGAGAAGGGGGGGAGCCCGGCGCGCTCAGATCCTTCTGTGGTGCCTGGGGTTCAGGCAACTGCCCCTTATCGAAGCCTCTTTCTCCCCCGGCACCCCGTGGCAGCCGCACGTCCCCTGGGATGTTCTGGGGGCCGTGCCCCCCCTGACGCCCCTCTCTGTTGCCCAGGTGGAGGATGGGGGCAAGGCTGCCCTGTCCCGCCGGCTGCAGCCGGGTGACGAGCTGGTGAACATCAGCGGGACGCCGCTGTACGGGTCCCGCCAGGAGGCCCTGATCCTCATCAAGGGCTCCTACCGCACCCTGAAGATGATCGTTCGCAGGTTGGCAGCGCTGCGGGGGAGGGACGCAGGGAGGGCCAGCGGGGCTTTGCCTGCCCGGGGGGCTGGCAGGAGCCTGGAGGTGCCCTTGCCTCCAGCCTGGAGGTGCCCCTTGCTGGGATGGGATGGGGGTCAGTCCCCCTGCGGCTGCCAGTGCTCTGGGTGGGTGGGGGTTCCCCAGCCAGAGGAGCCGGGGCAGTGCGGCGGGCTCGCCACCCCCTTGCTGGGCGGTATCCTCAAGCGTGGCCGCTCCTCTCCCTTCCTGCCTGCCTCCTGCCTGCCTGCCTGGGAAAGGAAGGAGAGGCAGGGCTGGGCCTTGCAGTCTTCCCCCCCACCCCCAATCTGCATCCATTCCCTGGCTGCATTCTGACTGACTCCAGCTCCAGCGGCACCCAGGGGCAGGAGCAGCACAGGGCACTGCCCACTCGTCAGGGGTACCACGGGGCTGTGCTGGGGCTCAGCATCGTCCATGGTGAGTTTGGGGGCCCTGGGAAGGGAAGTCCCTGCACTGACTCGGCACCTTGTCCTTGCCACCCTCCTTGCCTAGTCAGTGGATGCTGGGGCAGCACTCAGCACTTGGGGGGTTCAGGAGGTGGCTTTTGACCGAGTGCCTGTGTGGTGGCACTGGACACCGCTGCCTACATGTGGTGTGGGGACTGGAGAACCCCACGGCTGCCAGGGGTTGGGATAGGGCCCAGCACAGGACCCCTCCCTCCTCCCTGGAGACAAGATGTGACCGGTGCTTGCTGGGGATGCTGAGGGACCAAGGAACAAGGAGGGAAGGTCAGGCTTGTGGTGGAGATGCAGATGTGGCCTCAGGGTCCCTTGGTGGAGCCGGTCCAGTCCCAGCAGGGACATTTGCCCTGCCCAGGGCGTTGCCTGCGGGCTGCGCAGGGGCCACGTCCTCGGTCCCCTGTTGATGCTGGCAACAGGGATGCTGCAGGCAGGGACCCTGGCCAGTGGGGTGAACTGTGGGATCCCCCTGCCCACTGCCGGGTGCTGGCAGGGCTGGACCCTCCTCGCCACTGTCCCCCTTGGGCAGGCGCTGGCCTGGGGGGACAGGAAGCCCCGTAGGAAGTGACTTCAGCCCCGGTTCCTCGGCCTGGCTTCCTCCCCATTCTTGTCCTTTCCCGCTGTTGCTCTTGGCAGGAGGAGTGTGCCCGTCCTCCGGCCCCATTCCTGGCACGTGGCCAAACTTGCCGAAAGCCGCCCCGACGCCCCCACCATGCACTGCCCCGCTGATGCCTTCAGCCTCTCGTGGCCCTCAGGGTGTGATGTCAGGTGAGACCCTGGGGCATTCCTGAGACTGTGCAAGGGGAGGGGGCACACGGGGCACCCGCTTCGGTCAGCGTGGGGGCTGTGGGGTAGATGCTCACATGCCTGCCCCACACAACTGTCGGGCATCCCCCCTCATCCTTCCACTGCACTGCCCTTTCCCCTGCCTGTTTACTCCCAGCTCCCGGCAGGAAGGGGCGGTGGCTCTGCCGGAGCTGGCCAGGAGCTGCTTAGTCCCATTGCCCCGGCTGCCAGAGCTGGGAGGTCCCGAGTGGCTGGAGTCAGGCACACCCTGTGTTCCCTGTGCCTGCTCCCCCTGCCTGTGCTGGGGCAATCTTGGTGCTGCCCCCAAACCCGGTGGTGAAGAGCAGATTGGGGCTGCACTGCTCTGTGCCCCCTTGTCCTGGGGAGGGTGTATGTGTAGGGGGGTGGGATCCCCGCGGAGCTGGGCAGGGGGTGGCAGACACCCCTAATGCTGGCATGGGGCCGGGCAGCAGTGAGCTGTCCCTGCAGTGGAACCCGCTGTCCCGGCACTGCAGCACCGACCGGAGCAGCTCCATCGGGAGCATGGAGAGCCTGGACCACCCCGGCCAGGCCTACTATGAAGGAGACCCCTCACCCGTTGACCAGGGCATGTACCACAGCAAGCGGGACTCGGCCTATAGCTCCTTCTCTGCCAGCTCCATCGCCTCCGACTGCGCCCTCTCCCTCCGCCCTGAAGAGGCCGTGTCCACTGACTCCAGCTTTCAAGGCCCCTGCAAGGCCCCTGACGGCCGCTACCTGACCACAGGGGCTGAGCCATCTGCCAGCCGGCACCCCGAGGCCTGGCGGGCGCCTGTGCCCCCCCAGCCCCCTGTGAGGAGGGACAGCCTGCGGGCAGCCCCGGGCAGCAGAGGGGACAGGCACCGGGCGTCAGTGTCAGCGGACATGCTGCATGCCAAGGGCCGGTGGATCTCCGACACCTTCCTCTGCCAGCGGGATGGGGAAGCGGAGGCGGTGGGCGGGAGGACGCTGGCACCGTACCCCACAAAGGACCGTCTCTCTGCTGACCAGTATTACATGCTGAGCTCCCACCCGGACCAGTGCCCAGCTGAGCCGCTCCTGGGGGAGAGCATGGAGTCTGATGACCGGCTGTACCTGGATGGCAGCACGCACCGAGTGCTGGATGCCACGACAGCAGGTGACAACCCGTTGCTGTCCCCCCTCAAGGGCCACGTGCCACACCGGCACAGTGCTCCCGAGCAGCTGCTGGCCTCCCAGCTCCGCTCCCTCCAGGTGGGCTCCAGCAGCGAGCGAGCCTCGCCAGCCCCCGATGGGCACCGCTGGACCTTGTCCCCACTGCACCCCGAGGGCAGCCGGGGGGGAACCGCAGGGGCTACCCAGGACCCCCCGCTCTGCCCAGAGCCTTGCTGCCACTGCTGCCCCGAGCCTCAGCGAGCCTGCGGGCAGGACGGCCGGGGGACCAGCCCGGCGCTCAGCACCGAGGGGCCGGCGGAGGAGGAGAGCCGGGCAGGGGCCCGGCGGGCCGGGGGTCCTCCCCACCGCTCTGCTCAGATGCGCCGCCGCAGCGACCGCTTCGCCACCAGCCTGCGCAACGAGATCCAGCGGCGCAAGGCCCAGCTGCAGAAGAGCCGGGGTCCCGGTGCCCCCCCGCCTGGCGAGGAGCCGGTGGAGGAGACGGAGGAGCCCCCTGAGAGCAGCGTGCCGGCAGAGGGACCCCCCGCCCTGGCCGAGCGTCTCAGCCCTGCGCCGAGCGAGGACGGCAGGAACGCCGGCCGCGCGGGGGACCGGGGTATCCCCACTCCTGACCCGCTGCCAGCCCCCAAAGGGCCCCCATCCCCCGAGCGGGCGGTGCCAACAGCCAGGGGCCGCTGGCGCTGGTCCCCGGAGCGCAAGCTGCAGCCGCAGCGCTCGCCCAGCCCCGGTGAGCTGGAGGGCTACAGCCAGGGCCCGGTGGCCCGCAGCTCCCCACCGCGGGGCAGCGACGAGGCCGTCCTCCTGCCCTTTGCCGACCGCCGCCGGTTCTTTGAGGAGAGCAGCCGGCCGGCACCGCCCCAGCACAGCAAGCCCCCGGTGGGCGATCCCGGTGCCTTCCAGCCCCATGGCCCCGAGCACCGGGACGTCCGCCGCCTCTCCGTGGACCAGCCTTACAGCCCCCCGTCCCCCAGCCGCCCTGGCTCTGCCGGCCCCTACGCTGAGTGCTGCCGGGAGCAGCCCCCCTGCTACAAGCCGCTGGGGAGGCCGGGAGAGCTGGATTATGCGCGGGGCTTTTCCTACCCCTATGGGGTTCCCCTGCGCCCCGAGCCCTGCCGCTACTGCGGAGGGGATCCGTGCCCGCCGCCGCTGCCTCGCGGCCATCCCTGCCGCTGCCACCCCCAGCCCTGGGTGCGCTGCCCCGACTGCTGCTGCCCGGCCCCCCGTCCTGGGCGAGAGGAGAGCGACGTGTGGCCCCCTCGGAGAGCTTTCGCCCCGGTGAGTAACTCCACCCGGGACTGTGCTGGGGAGCAGCACTGGCAACCCCTTGCACTCCTGGAGTGTGACCTTGGGTTGGGGTGCGGAGTACTGTGCCCATGTTGGCCCTGCAGACCCACTGCATGCCTTCTGCACCTGAATGGGGATGGGATGGCACGGGGTTGCTGGGAAGGGGGATGTTGACCCCTCTTTCATACTCCCTCTCCTTCCCCCACGCAGGAATTTCCTCAGGATGAGTGGGAGCCACCTGCGATAACCAGGAAAGTCAGCCAGTCTGTCAGGTGAGCCCATGCCAGGTACCGGAGTGCTGGGATGTGCGTGACACTCGGTGGGGACCTTTGCCAGGGAGAGGTGGAGACTGCCATGATTTTGGTGGGGGATATACAAAGTGCTTCCTGTAATGCCTTGTCCATCTCAACGTGGTGGCTGTGAAACGGGAGCATGTGCCACCTTGGGCACACAGGGCCAGGGGGCATGAGGAGGCATCCACAGCAAGGAGAGTCCCTCCTTGCCCATCCCCGGAGGTCTGGGGGCATCTCCAGGGGGTTCTGCCCAGTGGGAGAGCGTGGGCTTCCCCCACCACCAGGGCTGGGTGACTCCAGCTGGGGAAAATGAGGCAGGGGTGGGCATGAGCTGCCAGGGGGTGACAGTGTGTGGGGGGACGGGCGTCTCCTTCTCTCCCCAGTGAGCTCTCCCACTACCAAATGGGCTTCCAAAGGCTCGGCCCCTTCCACACCTGCTTTGAGAGCGCCGAGCCGGAGTGGCCACCCTGCTACCGGGCCACATCCACGCACGACCTCTCGTGGGATAGCGACCGCCTGGCCCGCACGCCTGAGAGCCCCCCGGACCCGCTGCACCGCCCGCTGCGGGGCAGAGCCTTCTCCGAGAGCCACCTCAACCTGGAACCTGCCAGTCCCCGGGGCCGCGAACGGAAGGACCTCTTCCGTGCTAAGCTGGACCAACCCCGCATCCCCAAAAAGAAGGGCCCCCCGCCTCCCCGCCCACCTCCCCCCAACTGGGAGAAGTACAGGCAGCGCCGGGCGTCCCAGCACCCGCCGGATGGTGCTGGGCACGGCTCTGCCTTTGCCGCCCTGGTGCCGCCCCGCAGCATTGCTGATGTGGTGCGTGAGCGGTCCCAGAGCCTCACCGGGGAGCAGGGGGGCCGGTCCTGGGGGCATGCTGCTCGCCCCCCTGCTCCACCAGGCGCCTGGCCCCGTCCCGAGCCCCCCGGATCACTTCGCAGGACTCCTGGGCCCGATGTTGGCAACGCCGAGATTTGCAGGCAAGTGCTGCCGTGGCGTGGGGGTGGGAGTGGGGCTGCAGGCACAGCCTCAACACGGGTGGGCTTTTGCGGTCCCGTGGCCCCTTGTACCCTGCATCAGAGCATCCTAATCCACCCCTTGGGGCACACTCTGGGGTTTTTTTGGGGTGGGGGGTATCCCTGACCTCTTTGCCTGGAGTGGCCACAGCCCCCCTGCCCATCACTGTCCCCAGGACAGGGATGGGCAGGGGGGCTGACGTGCCCCTGTGGGGGTGTTGGCAGGGTGGCAGGGGCTGGGGAGAAGCGGCCAAAGGCAAAGAAGCCCTGGGAGATGGAGGAGCAGCCCCAAAGGCTCATCCGGAACCAGGAGCGGGGCTGTGCTGGTCCCTGTGGGGTGGGTGAGTGCTCCCCACCCCTGCCTGGTGGCCCCAGCCCAGCTGTGCCAGAGGCACTCAAGCCCAGTCCCGGGGCAGCAGAGGGGGTGAGCTGCCAGGGCAGCCGGCCCCAGCCCCGCCGCGTGGACTCGGAGGAACTGCTGTGGAATATGGCAGTCAGGGACCACTCCCTGGCCAATGTCCATGCCCCTTTGGCCCCCTTTGGCACCACCACTGAGGTGATTGGTGAGCTGCTGGTGGCGGGGGAGCGGCAGGCCTGGCGGGAGCGTCTCCAGCAGGACTGGCACCTGGAGGCCCTGGCACAGGACAGGTAGGGCTGGTGCAGCACTGGACGCTGTGCGGAGGGCAGGCTGCACCCTGCCACCCCCAGCACTGACCCCTGCCCCCCCAGGCAAGGCTTTGAGCCCATCTCGCCACCCCCTGGGAGTGTTGCCAGCTCCAGCTCCTTCCCGGTGCACTACACTGCAGCAGCAGGCAAAGCTGAGCCGCTCAGCAAGGTGACAGCGCTGCCAGAGGTAGTGGAGGGGAGCTCAGAGGATGATGATGAGGAGGAGGTGGACCAGGAGCTGGTCGAAAAGAAGGTACAGGGACTGCTCGGGCCGATGCCCTTGGGGTTCCCCACTGCCCTCGCCAGGTGCTCATGGGCACTGGGGGCATTGCGGGATTTTCACAGGGATTGGGGCATCACTGAGGGCATCACTGGGTGCCCATGGGGACCAGGAACATTGCTGCATGCTCACGGGGGCTGGGACATTGCCAGATGCATGCGAGGACCAGGGGCGTTGTCAGGTGCTTGCTGAGCCTAGGAGTGTCACCAGATGCTCGTGGGGAGCAGGGACATCTCCAGATGCTCAGTGCTTGCAGGGACTGGGACATTCCCAGATGCCCACAGGGTCCAGGGGCATCCCTTGGCTGCTTGTGGGGTCTGAGAAATTGCCAGATGCTTGTGGGGACGGGGGGCATTGCCAGTAGCTCATGGGAACCAGGGGTACTACCACGTTCTTGTGTTCTGTGGGGCTCAGCACAGCACCCCTACACCCCTGTGCCAGTCCCCCAGTGCCATGGGGGATGGCCCCAGTCACCCCTGACCCTTTTGCTCTGGCAGCTGCAGCTGATCGAGAGCCTGAGCCGCAAGCTGGCGGTGCTGCGGGAGGCACAGCGGGGGCTGCAGGAGGACATCAGCGCCAACGGGGCGCTGGGCGACGACGTGTCTGCCCGCCTGCAAGCCCTCTGCACCCCAGGGGAGTTCGACAAGTACCGCCTCTTCGTGGGTGACCTGGACAAGGTGGTCAACCTCCTGCTCTCCCTCTCGGGGCGCCTGGCCCGGGTGGAGGCTGCCCTGGGCAGCCTGGGGCCACACGCCCCCGCCGAGGACAAGGTGGGCATGGGGCGGGGAGGCACCTGCGAGGCCTTGGGGTGTGGGACCCCCTGCCGACGCCGCCCGTCTCGCCCACAGCTGGCCCTGCGGGAGAAGCGCCGGCTGCTGGTGGCGCAGCTGGAGGATGCCAAGGAGCTGAAGGAGCACGTGGGGCGGCGGGAGGAGGCGGTGGGTGCCATGGTGGCGCGGTACCTGCCCGCCGAGCACCTCCAGGACTACCAGCACTTCGTCAAGATGAAGTCAGCCCTCATTGCTGAGCAGCGGGAGCTGGAGGAGAAGATCAAGCTGGGCCAGGAGCAGCTCCGGTGCCTGCGCGAGAGCCTTGGCCAGGCCTCCAAGGGCTGCTAACCCCATACCCAGCCTCCCTCTGGGACCCTGGCTGTGGCCCCAGCTTGCTGCCAAAGCAGATCCAGCCCCTCATGGGCTCTCCCTATGTCTGTCCATCTGTCCAGCCCCTGCCTTTTATTTATTTCTCTGGTTTACCAAGCAGGGGAGGGGCTGCCAGTCCAGATGCGGACAGGGGGTGTTGTGCCAAAGAGCTGTCATGGACTCTGTGGCCATCCAGCATCCTGTGGCTCAGCAGGACCAAATGGATGGACACTGCCATCACCCTCAGAGCTCTTTCTGTGCTGACGGGGGTCCTTCCACCTCGTCCTGGACACCAGTGCCTGTCCTGCATTCGGTGCTGCACCAAGTGCCTTAAACACCCCCCAGCTGCCCTGGGGCGTATCCATGCAGTGCCTGAAAGGGTTAAAGCATGCTTGCCCTCTGTCCTGTCTGTTTGTCCAGCTCTGTCCATCTGTCCGGTGGGAGCTGAAGGAATTTCAGCCCCGGCATCCTCTTCCTCTCCATTGTATCTGAAACAATGGCCCTGGCCAGCGGGTTCTTAACCCACTCCCCGCTGGCTGAGGCACCACGGGGGCCACAGTGGGTGCCAGTGGGTGCTGTGTACCCCTCTCCTGGGGAACACTGCAGTGGGTGCCCTGGGATGGTGCCCTGCCAGGGCATGGGGTTCTGGGACCAGTGGACTGTGGCCTGTGGCTACCCCCTGTCACCCACGCTGTGGGCATGGGAACCAGCAGGTCTCATCCAGCCCTCACCTGCAGCTTCTGGCCCAACACCAGGAGTGATTAATAGAGGAAAAAACACATTAAGGACAAACCAGGGTACTTGTCCCCTCCTCTTTGCTGCAACAGCCCCAAATAGCAGTTATATGTCAGCCCTCCACTGTCCATCTGTCTCCATAGGCTGGGCAGGTGCCTTGCTACTGATTTTGCACAGGGGTTTCATGCAACCAGCAGCAGCTTGGGGCAGGGGGTAAAGTGATTTGAGAGGGCAGGGTGGGCTCTTTGGTGGCCTCGTAGCTGGACAGCCCAGTCCCAGGGTGCAGGCAGCACCCACACCTGCCCTCCTGCCCCTGCAGCAGCCCCCTTGTGTGGCTGCCCCTCAGTGTGGGCCCCCCTCAGCCTGTTCAACACTACACCCCACAGCTGCCCGGCTGTACCCTGGGATGGTGCCTGGCAGGAGTGGGGTCACCGACATTCCCTCCATCTCAGCTGCCCCCAGGATCATTGCTAGGACCAAAGACTGCACCCACTGGGTGCCATACTGCTCTCGGGGTGGGAATCAGCAGCCCTCCCCAGGGCCCTCTGCTGGGGGAGCCGCTGGTGCCCGTGCATTGCTGCGTGCCGTTGTGCCTCACACTAAAGCAGCAGCAGGAGCTGCACATCTGTCCCAGCTCTGTCTCGTGTGGTTTGTCCCTGTGCCCCGGCAAGTGGCACCGGGGAGGGGGGCGGGCAATTACTCCGACTGGGGTGAGCCAAGCCTTGGCAAGCTCTTGGGACCCGAATGGGGTTATGGAGGGTCACAGGGGGCACCTGGAGTGCAGCTGTGGGCAGGGAGCCCTCTGCACCCAGTGCTTCCAGGCTGGGCTGGAGCAGGGGGCAGTGCCTGGACTACTCCCCAGGAGCACGTAGAAGGGGCACCGCACTTAAGCGGCGGATGTCGCGCCGTCCCCGGCAACTCAGCCGCGGCATCGCAGCCTGACCTTTTTGGGGTAGGGGGCGGTGGCCGTGTCC